AAGTTGCGTGTACGCCGATGGAAAGCGCCGTCTCCAGGACCACATTATAGCCAATGCCTCAGAGTAGAGGGCAGAGCGCTAAGCTCTGTGGAACTCCGCGGTTGATCCCCTGTCTGGCCGTGCCTCTGTTCATGGTGAACTGGATGGACCTTTGCGTTAGATATTTGTGCCCGATTATTCTCCCTAAGTAAGGGAGTACGTGGTGCCGAGTGAGTTCTTCCTGTATCTTGGGCTAGAGAAAGGAGTTAAAGGCATTGACGATGTCAACTGACACTGCCAGTGCCACTCCGCCCTGGTGCACTGGCGATTCTGTTAGGCTCCTGATTTGAATTGTATCGATCGTCGATAGTCCTGCTCGGAATCCGAACTGACTATGAAGGTCCGGATCCTCCCGAGTCAGGTGTTTCGATAGGTGCCCCACTAGTACCATCTCAAACAGTTTTTTCTCCCGCTTCGTTGAGAAGGCAGATCGACAATAAGCCAATGGGAAATTTGATGCTTTACCTGACTTTGGGATCAGGACGAGCCTCTCTGTCTTCCAATACAACGGAAACATTCCGCTGTTCAGGCAGCCGTTAAACAAGAGCCTAAATCTATCCCTCAGAACGCGTAGCGCCATTAATAGCTCGCGGCCGAGAATTCCATCCAAGCGGTGCTGCATGGCTCCATTAATCGCCGACGCCAGCTCTTCTTTCGTCACCGGTAGTGGCGGTGAGTGGTCCATCCAGGACGGGTTACGACTCGGCTCGATCCGTTCCTGTGAGAACAGTGTTTTCAGGACCTGCTCAAGTAATGACGGGTCGAGTGATTCTGTCACGGTGAGCGTCCTGAGTCGAGCTTTCCAAGCACAGGTGGTAAGGGCGCCCTCAGGGTTCACGGTTGATGGTGTCGATGAGTTCATCCCAAGCTCGAGTCTTAGCTTCCCTGATCGCCTGTTTTAGGGTTCGTACGGCTTCCCTGTACTACCGATGCAGTGACTCTTCCTTCTCCATGTTCCAGCGCCTCCTTCTCCTCGCTGGAACATGCAGGGGGCCCGCAAGCAGTTGTCCGCTTCGCTTCAATTCACGGTTCCCGGATGCCGCTTCAATTCCGCAATCTTGCACAGGAGCCATTTAACCTCTTGTTAATCGGGGACGGAGTCTTCTGGTTGGGAGAAGACAAATGAGAATGTGGAAATGGTTTCATCTCCTCTTCTCCACTCAGATACACGGCAGGCCGCTGCGGGAGAGGCTCATGATAGGTCTATTATTGATTGCTCTCTACTAATGGACGCTGGGGGTCATGTTGTCCATGTTTAGGAATCGGAAGTCCAGTCCCATTTCTCAGTCAGCTACCGTCTTGACTCCGTTCCGGGGAACCCCCAGAGGATAGACTTCGCATTAAAGTCCCCTAGCACCAGCACCGATTGGGAAAGATATCGAGCACGCTGTCCATCATCCTTTGGAATGTTATAAAATTTGGAGGGGTGCGTTCGGCGAGGCGTATATTTCCACGACCACCAAACTGTTCCACGCCACCGCCACGTAGCCATGTCCCCGTTCTAGGACTCGCAGCGAGGTGGAATCATCCGTCTATATTCTGACTAGTGCAACGGAACCCAGTACATCTCCAATCCAGTAGGGGCGGTCGAGAATTTTGTATGGCTCCGCTATAGTCTTATTTTCCACTCGGCCATGGTTTACATGAGCAGATCTCGTGCTATGGCCGAGTGGTTCAAATTGATTTGCAGTAAGCGGCCCGCGAGGGCCATCACTGTGCCGTGTCCATGGCTTCTTCACGGTCGCCTTGCTTCTTCGTTTGGACAGCGTGTTGGATGGCTGTCCGTTTCTTTTCTTTCGCTGAATTGGCTGACGTTGTTGGGCTCCTCATCTTGGTTGACGGGCAGCAGGCCTTGCTGCCCAGGCGGTGCTCTGCTTGCTCAGGTCTGTGTACAGCG